AAGGCTTTGTGGTCAGTCCGCACGATAAATAGTTTGCCGATCAAAAATGCTCGAAACTGTTTAGCGAACGTTATGAGGGCCATAAGTTCGCGACGATAAGTGCAGTAATTACGTTGTGGCTTGGATAACGTCTTACTGGCAAAGCAAACAGGTCGTTCGGTTCCGTTGGCATCAGCTTGTGATAGCACTCCCCCCATGGCGAACCCACTGGCGTCTGTGTCCAGAATAAACGGTGGAGCGTCTGCTTCCGTGTTTGGTAGTGTATCGGTGCAGAGAGCAGGCGGGCTTTCAGATCGTCGAAAGCAATCTGACATTCGTCAGTCCACGTAAATTTCCGTCCTTTCTCGGTTAACCGATGTAATGGTTGAGCAATGGATGCAAAATTTAAAATAAATTTGCGATAGTAAGACGCCAATCCAAGAAAACTACGGAGTTCGGTTACTGATTTAGGAATGGGCCACAATTTAACAGCGCTGATTTTCTCCGGAGAAGCCTGGATGCCTTCTCGACTGATTTCATGTCCCAAATAGGTGACCTTGTCACGCAAAAACAAACACTTCTGTGGGTACAGACGTAAACCTGCGTCGCCCAGTGCGGTTAAAACGGCCGCGAGGTTTTGATTATGATGTGTTATGGTGCGTCCGAAAACTATAACATCGTCTAAGTAGACCAGGCACTGATTTGGTAGCAGTTGGCCAAGGACGACTTGCATCAGGCGCTGAAATGTCGCTGGTGCATTGCATAAGCCGAATGGCATGGTCTCATATTCGAATAGTCCTTGTGGAAGTGTAAATGCTGTCTTGTGGCGGTCTGCAGGTTCTATCTCGACCTGCCAGTACCCCGATTTAAGGTCTAAAGTAGAAAACCAGCGTGCGCCAGCTAGTGCGTCGAGGGTCACATCGATACGGGGAAGTGGAAAGGAGTCTCGAGTGGTCAAGGCGTTGAGTCTGCGGTAGTCGACGCAAAGGCGTAGCTTCCCTTTGTTCTTCGGTACTAGGGTAACGGGAGATGCCCATGGTAAGTTTGATGGACGTATAACTCGATTCTTAAGCATAAAATCAATCAGTTGACTGACTTCGTCCTGGAAATGGGCCGGTATTCGCCGAGGTGGCTGCCATACCGGTTTGGCATTGCCGGTGTCGATGGAGTGCCGCAGATATGCCGTTCTACCTAGAGAGTCGTCATCCCACGCAAAAACTTCTGTGAACTCTGTTAGTAGGGCTCGCAATGTCTCACGGACGTTTTCAGTTACATTCACGGTGTCAGGTAGCATGGTGTCGATGTGGACGGTAGGTAAGGCAACTGTGGCTTGAATAGCAGCACAGACTGCGTCTTCGTCAAACGTAGGTGAGACGGCCTGTGTAGTAGAGAGTGGTCTTTGGAACTCGATAGTACGCTGATTGACCTGAATGGCACAATTGTATCTACTGAGGAAATCGAGTCCTAGCAATATATCCCAGGCTAGTCCTGGCACTACCAAAAAGGTATGTTGTCTCAACCCGGACTGAAATGTCAGTTGTAACAAAATGCTGCCGATGCAGTCCAGCCGAGAGCCATCTGCTGTGGTTAAGCATGTGGACCGGGGCCTCGGGTCTATCTGCACATTTTGTGCATGGGACAGTATTTGCGGGTTTACTAACGATATCGTCGCCAACGTGTCTATTAAGGCGCGGATCGGTCGCTGATTAAGAAGCAGTTCAGTATAGAATGGTGGTACTGTGGCATGAAGTTGGGAGACAAGCGGAATGGAACACGTACCCGATCCGGCAAGTTCGTTGGATGGGTCTGACCGGTGGCTGTG